CCCCAAAACCCCAAAACCCCAAAACCCCAAAACCCCATTATAATAAGGTCGGATGGAGGTTATTTAAAATCATAAATAAAATTAATGGAGAAGATTTTTGAGGATAAGAATAAAGAGGAAGAGTACAAAAGGATATTTGATGCTTATGACGATGACATGGATGGAAAGATCCCTTTGAACTTCTTAATCAAGCAAATAAAGCACCAGGGGTTCAGCATACTACAAGAGAAGCATCGGTTCCAGGAGATCAAGCAGTATATCAGCTCTTTGCCTCACAAAGAGAAATCAAATATTGATTTCCAAAATTTCCAAGATATCATGGAGATGCCTGATAGTGATTTGATAGAGAAAGCATTATTAGGCAAACTGATCGTTCCAGACTTCAGTGAATTCACTGAAAGTATTGAGAAGATATATGAAATAGTTAAAGAAGTGAAAGACGGAGAGAATGCAAGCTATATCCCTCAGCTTGCTGAAGTAGATTCAAACCTATTCTCCATAGCTGCTTGAACAGTTGATGGCCAACAATGTGATATCGGAGACTCTGATACCTATTTCTGTGTCCAGAGTTGATCAAAAGCTATTTCTTATTGTATCGCTGTAGAAGAGCATGGAATTGACTATGTACATAAGCATGTTGGGAAGGAGCCTTCTGGAGCAAGTTTTAACAAAAATTTTCTGAACCCAGACAATCTTCCTCATAATCCTATGATCAACTCTGGAGCAATCATGATTGCTGCTTTGATCTCTCCAGACCTAGAAATGTACAAGAGATATGAATATGTGAAGAGATATTGGTCAAGTCTGGCCGCAGGTGCCAGAGTCGGTTTTCAAAATGCTACATATCTAAGTGAGAAAGATACTGCTTCGAGGAACTTTTGATTAGGACACATGATGATGGATGCTAAGGCATTCCCTGAGGACACAGATTTAGACAACATTTTGGATTTCTATTTCCAGCTTTGCTCTCTAGAGGTTACTTCCAAGGATATGGCAATTATTGCAGCTTCTTTGGCTAATGGAGGAGTTTGACCAATGACTAATCAAAGAATATTTAAGGAAGATACTGTCAACCATTGTCTTTCTCTTATGCACTCTTGTGGAATGTACGATTACTCAGGTGAATGGGCTTATTCAGTCGGAATCCCTGCTAAAAGTGGTGTGGGTGGTTGTGTCTTTCTTGTTGTCCCAAAGGTAATGGGTATTTGCATCTTCAGCCCCAGGCTAGACTCAAGAGGCAATTCTGTAAGAGGAATTGAAGCTAGTAAATTGCTGCTTAAAGAATATACTATGCACAGATATGACAATCTCAAAGGTGTGGTGACTCCATTCTCTCATAAAATGTCTTTACTGCAATCTATGGCTGAGCAGAAGAATGAGTTTACTAAAGATTTGCTAAATGCAGTTGCTGATGATGACCTTCACCACTTGCAATGTATACTGGAAGAAGTTAAGGAAGAGAACTTTAATATCAACTCTATAAGTGACTATGATGATGTTACTCCTGCTCATGTAGCTTGCTCATTCAATCATGAGGAAATCCTTCATTATTTGATTGAACTGGATGCTGATTTCAACAATGTTACTGATAAATGGGGTAAGACTCCTTTAGACAGAGCTTCAGAGGCAGGACATAAAGATGTGGTAAAGATCTTGCACAAACTTTACGCTTCAGAGAAAGACCTTTGATACACGACTGACTAAATAAGTTTTGCTAAGTCTTTCTTTAAACATTTCCCATATTTGGTTTCAATAAGATTTTGCTTATAAGGGGTTTTGGGGTTTTGGGGTTTTGGGG